ATAGATATGATTTTCAGTTTAAGGCAACTACAGGAGAAAGCATGACAATTCATTTGTTACTTTCATTGTTCTCAGTAAGGCCTTTGATACCATTCAGTAATCTTTACCACAAGCTTTGGAATACTTGGAATGTTTTAAAAGTTGAAAATTAATGTGTACAAATCAGTAGAACTGACATTCCTACTCTATGGTGCAGCATCTTGGACTCTATTGACGACACATCAATCATCTCTGTACTTTCCACATGCATTGTCTGTGTACCACCTGCAACATAATACCGAGTGATGACATTAGAAACAGTAAAGTTCTGAATAAATGCAACATGACAAGTATTGAAGTCATCCTTATGAAAATCCAACTCAGGAAAGCAGGACATCTTACTCATATGAGCAAACTTCCAAAACAAATCCACTTTCAAAGACAATATAAAGTGATGCAGCATCCACTTTTCTTCTTGGGAAAACAATGTGCCATTACGAAGGACCTGGAACCTGTCCTGCTTCTTATCTATACAAAGGTCTGATCAAAGTCAACTTGAACATTGGGATCAACTGCCTGAAATATTAAAGCAAGTTGGCAGCATGTTACCCTTCTCAATAATAGCCTTACCTACCACTGTAACTTTGTTGCACGCAATAAAACAGGCCTTGCTGTTGACTTGTGGAAACATGTGGCAATTGATCCTCAACCACCCAAGCGAAATGGGCCTATCACATGTTCCATCTGTCTAAATGCCTGCAAAACACCTGCAGGCCTCAAGAGACATGTGCCCATTGAAGTTGAGCATATACACACACACACACACACACATACACAAAAATGAACTTGCTGCAATGTGGAATGAACATAAAATATGAAATTTTTCCAGGGCACTAAATGAATGGATGAGAATGTTGATCTGAAGCTTCCATCTATACATAAAGTACTTCAATTAATCTAAACCAAGTAACAGAATGTTTCTCTCCAAAATTGTACCAGACATTAATTGGCAATCATATCAAATACAACTAAGAAGAGCATAAAATGTTAAAGATTTTTCAACATTAGACAAAATTATATGTTCAAGACTAATCAACTAAAACAACCGAGAATATTTGCAAATTTAATAAATGCTTTAATAATAATCTTAAAGAAATAAGCAATGAGGCACATTTGACATTTCATCATGAACTTAGTCTTGATAAAATTTCATCTATTTCCCTCTAGTATTGTTTCACACAAACAGCATTGTACACTGCATAAGAGCGAAAGAAAGAAGATAATTGAAATAAGCAGATTTTGTAGATGTGTACTACATTTAAAGAACTGTTCCAAATCGCAGATATGGATGAAGGTTCTTTGGTAGGAACACCTGATAAGTTAACTTATTAGGAAGCGCACATAGCGAATATGAAAATAGAGAATATGATATAACTACAATATCATTCTACTGAAAATGTAGAAGGTTTAATTACTTTAATTTGATTAGATAGTTAAATAAAAACAAACATGAACCTTTGATCTTCAATTGAAAAACTGAGCCTTAAAGTAAAATTATTATTCATAGTTACAAAAGAAAATTAATTTTATTGCAAGTATGAATTCAATTCGTGTTTTTTTTTTGTGTATTATGAATTGTATGAGATTTATAAACAGACTAAAAATTGTAATATCGGCTTTAAAAAAGTATTTTCCATTTATGGATTTCAATCAGAAAGATAATTTGTAGAACTTACATTCATAACAATGAGTCAGAATAACGATGACAATATTCAAATCCTTACAACTGACAATAGTACACGAAACGAGCTTAATGTGCCAAATGAAAAAAAAAAAGGATGATACAGAGGTAATAATCAAAAGGCAATAAATGTAATGGTTTTTTTTTGTTTATCGCTTTCATGTCTAAAAAGCAAAAATAAATAGAAATGGTGACATCAGTAGAGTAATTTGATACGAAATGATTTTAAATCAGAAGTTTCAAGTGTCGATTAATGATGCGCAAGAAAATTCGTAAAACCATCGATATAATAATGACGGTGATGATTTTGGGAGGGTGTGGAGAAGAGAAGTAATAAACTTCGCAAAACATTATGACATCATAATGTTCAATCTATGGACTACTGCACATGAAAATACAAAAACGTTGAACAAAAAGGTTATTTCGAATATCTCCTCTTAATCTGAATTATCAAGAGCGCACAATGCAGAAAAATAAATGCAAATGAAAAATTAAAAAGGTATATTCAATTGCCATCAAGACAAGACCACATCTATTTCGGTTATTACAGGTTCACTGAAAAATGATCTCTGGCTAAACATTCTAAAAATAAAAAATATTTATATTCCTATATAGTTTTTCTCACTAGACTTTAAAAAAGAAAACAGGAGTGGTCGACGGCTGTTATATTTCCATTTTCAAGGAGATATCCAAACATCAAATCCATCCAGTGTTATAAAAAAGAAAAAAAACGAATGAAAAAAAAAAGGCAGAGAAAATTCTAAAAGGCTATATTGTGATGAAAGCTTATAATTGTGTGTACATATTTGAATGTTAATGTAATTATTAAATCGGCCAGCAAAATTTCCTCATTCGTTATCGACCGTTACTATTACTCACTGCTACTCGTGGTTAGTAGTAGTAACTCAAATAGCGTCATAGGACCAATGATGTTTGTCAGTTCCATGATAGCTTATGTTTACTGAAACAACGGCAGATGATTTTGAAAAAAAAAATTTCGGTTAAACAGCTTCAATGACATTTTTTTGGTTATTTACTAGTAAAAAATGATATGCAGATTATCGACGATAATAATAGTCTATCGCAAATGATGTTCAGTTTAAAACTAAAAATACAAATATATGGTCATTTTTAAAATAAAATAAGAGTAAGACTTGTTTTATTTAAATAAAAAAATGATCCAATCCTTTTGTTGAACTTTAAGGTTTAAAAATAGACATTTTTGTTAAGGTCTGTGGCAGATTTGTGAATGTTTTTAACAAACTAAAAATAAAAAAGTAGTAATCAGCTAGTTAGTATTAGTGATGCTTTCCACGTCCTCCAGTAGAAAAAAAAAGATTACAGCTGATAGAATCAGAAAAAAAAAAACTCAAATTGCGTGTTTTCTCTCAGAAAATGCATTGAGATGACTAAACAGTAAAAAGTAATTATTCACTTTTACAATGAACTTAGTCACTCACACCTGATATTGGAAAATTAAATAATTTAATGAATTTTTACAGTTTTACACATTTAAGCGCTTTCTGTTCTTGAACTATACAAGTTGATAATTTACTACACTGGTCATCGGTAATTCTATTCTCAACTACAACGCAGAACGTTTAAAATGAAGACCAAAAACATGGCTAAAGATTTTAAATAACTAAAATTAAAAAGCAGGTCGCAATGTTCACAAGATAACTCTTATGAAAAATGTGCATGTGGTTAGAAAATATTCTAAAACAAAAAAGAAAGCCGCCTCACAACATAAAAACTAAGAGTCGAGGTCATCACTGATTTTTGCGTTTCTATCGTGAGACAGACAATACTGATCATTAGGTTGGCGGAATTTAATTAAACTAATAAAATTATGTAATACAAAAAAAAAAAAAAAAAAAAAAAAAAAAAAGTTTAAATTTATTATTTTCTAAAAATTCGAAACATCTGGGTCCTATGACTTACTCATTAAGGGTTATTTTAGTACGGCTATCACCAAAATCACTATTGTTATTATAAATTCCATTTGCACAGATTTAAAAGTGCACTAGAGATAGACTTTAAATTTAGTACTTAACGCAACGGTCAAAACATTTCAAACTAAATTGAAAGGGTAAAAAAAAAACCTATAAATCGGACGTAGTAGTAGTAGTACAGCCGAAGATAAGTAACCATGACACAGCAACTAACAGTAGCAGCCAGTAAATATAGAGATGTCATTTTTTAAAACAAATAGAAAAAAATGCTAGAAACTACATTCTCGCCGGACTATGTCAACTAGATGAAAAAATTAAAATGAAATAAAAATGACAGGGGAACCTAGTACCACCTATAATTTTTCAAGATTCATAATTGAAATAAGGTTTTAAAAAAAGATTATTGCCTAAGTAGCCTAGCAACCTCGAGAAGATACCAATTAAGGAGCAACAGCTATATGATGACCAGGGGTAAGAAAAGTGAAGACAAAAAAAAAAAATGAAAGACATGCCAGCTAGAGATTATCTCATGCATTGTTACCAATAAAAAAAATAATGACGCACACAATTGAATTTCAAGTGCAGTTGTAAACTAGTAATACATTCCCACTACTTTATTAGTATTACTAAATAAAAATAGCAGGACAAGTTCTCTAGTAATCCCTTCTTGGGTAAACAGCTACATGTGTAGATGTCAGCGAACTACCACTTTTATATTTTAAAAGATGAGGTATTCTATGTTGTGGGGAAGAATTAAAAGTTCTTGAGTGAGATTTTTAAAACGAAGACATTTCTACTCTAAAAACCAGCCATTTCTGGGATAATTTTTTTTTCTAACTTAAAAGAAAAACGTTAGGAAAATTTATACAACATGAACCAATCATGAACTAAAAGGGGTGCGTCAGGTTACTTAGGTTTTTTTATGAAGAGGGGGGACATTTTACAAGATTTTACAAACATTCAAATAGTTAAAAAAAATTGAATCACAATCTAAAAAGTTTATTAGCAACTGAAAGAGAAAACATTTTTGTTTTGTATGTATGTATGTAAAACTGCACCAATTTCCAATTTATGTTTTAGACGTTATAAAAATAAAAATGATCTTTAGTTTAATTACCCTTCAGCTTTCCTTTTTGTAGGGAAACGGAAGTCCTTTTTTTTTTTTGTTAGGAGGGGAATGTTCAGTTAATTTTTTTCTATTACGACATTTTAGGAGGAATTTACAGAGGAAAAATGTACAAAATGTCTTTTTCTTTCATGTTGCTCAAGAAACAGTGACAGACATAACATTCGAAAAGAAGAAAGTTCCAATTTTTTACAAAACTTACCGTCAGTTCGTTGAATGTCAACGTTCAGTCCGACCGCCAAGCAACCGAACTCCATGGTTGGTTGTTGAAATGGCTTTTTTAAACTCAAGCCCAAGTAGTAAAAATGAATAAAGAGCCTTCCTGGCTGAAAGGAGAGGGGAAAATAAAAGGCAGTTGTCCTTCAGGATCTTTGCAATCAGGTGATGGTCGTGTAGATAGGATTTTTTAAGAATGCATAGCACAGTAAAGAGTCTACTATTATTCAAAGCGGTATATTTCTGTGTGTACACACGGCTGCCAGGCAATGGTGGCCGTCGTCTTCTCTTTCTTTCCCCTTTTAGATGATGTCGATGATGCTCGTTTCTAAATGCTGTTATCTCCTTCATCCACCCAATAAAACAAATACAAGGAAATATTCTTCGATGTACAGGTAGATGAAAGTAGTTGCAAATCCTCTTGCTTCCAGCCTACCGATTTTTTATTTTCCTTTTTTTAATTGCAAATCTATCAAAACTCCGAACAGCATAACAACAACTATTCAGCCGGGCCGGGCTCCCTCGCGTTTTTCTCCCCCGTCTTTTCAACATCAAATTAACACTAGAAAACGACGCCTAACAAAAGAATTTAAAGGGGAGGCGCTTAAAAAAAAAGAGCTTGCAACCGTGGCCATCAACAATCGCCGCGGCCGCAAAAAATATTTTCTTCCTTTTTCTTTTCAAAAGAGAAGCTAACGGCGATCGGATATTTTCTTTCCTTACAATGGATAAGCGGCAGTAGCAGCCGTTAACAAAATTCAAAACTAGTCTGCGCCTGCGCAACTTCCGGTTTACTACTGCTGCTATTGTTGATCACATTCTGCTTAGTAACTGCACCAAACATGGCATCCACGTGTTTCTCTCTACAACATTACGCCAACCAACCTTTCCTTTTTTTTTAAAAGAGATTTCATTTTTACTTGTTTTCTTAATAAGAGCAAGTGACATGCTTGATGTTCCATCGAAGGTACTGGGCTGATATCACTCTTAGTCTTACAAATTTATCTATTTGAACGAAATTCTTAATTTAAAATCAGCTCAATAAAAAAGAATTCACGTAAATTAAAATTACTTGTAAAAATGTTTTTTGTGCGAGATACAAGATTCAATTAATAAATTTCTCATCACAATATAGTCACTCGACTCAGTGTTTAAAGCTGTACGGAGTTGCTGAAATTTATTTCTGCAGTCTCCAAACCGAACGTCTTTTAACACTTTGTTGAACTTCTTGTGTATACAAATCTGCTTGCAAAAATGCCGTGTTTATAATCGGCTAAAAATAAACTGACACAAAAACATGAAAAAATGTTAATTTAAAATTTCAATATTTTTTTAACATTGAACAAAATTTTCATAATACAAAGGGAAATAAAGAATGAGCATACAGTTTTTAATTAAAATCGCTTAACTTTCAAATTAACTTGCATGATTCAAATTTAATTTTATTTAATCTTTAGAAAAGTAATGACAAATTACCAATGTGACGGTACCCTTACCTTGGTTAAGCAAAAAAACTCTCAGCAACAACAAATTATTCTTTCAAACATCAATATTCACACAGACATTGAGTTGATTTAACTAATTGGAAAGGCTTGTCTTGTGCGTTATCAGAATCAGTAATTTTGAAATCACATATAAAATGTTGATCTCATATCAAAAAATTATTTTCTTTTATAAAATTTGGTTCTTTATAAATCAGGAAAGGTGTCTTTAATACTGCAGTAGGTGCAATAGCTGACAGTATAGAAAAGGCATTCTCTCTCCATCCATCTGTGAACATCTCTGTTTTTGGTAAATTACTCACCACAACACATAGCTGAAATATTCTAAAGGTACTGATGTTGCCAGACATTAAATTTTTCCATTGCCCAATCCCTCATTCAAATTGTGGACTTCCCTACTTGTTTCCCTACCCAAACTGAGCAACATGCTTTCAATTGGATCTTTTCTTACTTCCTCTCTTTGCTCTTGCCAAGCTTTACAATACTGCCCTCTTAGTAACTTGGACCACTCTATGGTAGCTATTGATATCTCCTTCCAAGCATCCATTAAACAGGAACCTCCTATACATAAGACCTCTTTCTGGTACCAGCATGCTGATTGGGACTTATTCCAGGATTTTCTTTGTAATACCCCATGGACTGACATGTTCAACCTCCCAATTGAAAATTGTGCCACTAAGGTTTCGTCTTGGGTCAAAGCCAATATGGGTGCTTCCATCCCTTCTTGGAAATACCAGGTGAAACTACAATGCTTTCTATGGTTCACAGCAGCATGCTCGGATGCCATAGTACACAGGAACCAATATTGGCTTTCATGACTACTGGTGTCTACTGTAATAAGGTACTAAATAAGTGCAAGGTCTCTATTCCTCCCCTCTTCAATTCATTTGAGATGTTATTATCCTCTGCTGATAAAGCTGAATACTTTACCTGTAAATTCTCCTCAAGCTCTACCCTTGACTCATCTGAAGTATCCCTACCTGACTTCCCACTTAGAACTGATTCTCTGTTGAGTGATATGCATATAACCCCTTTCATGGTTTCTGTTATCATCCCTAACCTTGATCCCCACAAAACATGTGAACCCAATGACATCCCAGTAATAGTCATTAAGAAGTGTGTTCTCAAACTAGCTCCTGTTCTCTCTAAACTGTATAATAAATGCCTCACTGCCTCCTGCTTTCCTGCCTGCTGGAAGTCATCATCTGTTGTTCCAGTTTTTAAGAACTCTGGTGAAACATCTAACCGTCTGCCTCTTTTTAGGAAATTTCAAGATCCATCTCTCATCACAGGTCCATTTCTCAGACAAGCAATATGGCTTTCATTTCTCCAGATCAACTGCTGATGTACTAACAATATTTGTGGGAAGTCTCTGTCATATTCTAGATAAAAAGGGTGAAACCTAGGCTGTTGCACTGGACATCTCAAAAGCCTTTGACAGGGTCTGGCATTCAGGTCTTCTTCACAAGCTGAAAAGCTACAGTTTCTCTGGGTACATTTTTGAGCTAATCCAGTTGTTCCTATCTACTTGCGAAATGAAAGTTATCCTGAATGGCAATTTGTCTACATCCTTTCATACTAATGTGTGTCCCCCCCCCAAGACTACATCCTTGGTCCTACACTGATTTTAATCTTCATTAACAACCTTCCTGATGATATCAGCTCTTTGCTGATGACACTACCATTTACTCCTGCATCGATAATAAGGCTGATCAGTCAGACAAGGTCAAAATGGTACCTGATGTACAAAATGACCTCAAGACCATTGTTAACTGGGGCAAAAGATGGCTTGTCAATTTTAATGCCTCCAAAACTAAACTTCTCTCCATTAATCATCTGAGAGACTTCTCTCTGCCTTCCATCAGCATGGCTGATGCAATCCTCCAAGAAAGTGACACATTACACCTTCTCAGGCTAACATTCTCAACTGACATGAGGTGAAAAGACTATATTGAATCCATCACTAGATTAGCTGCTAAGAAAGTGGGCTCACTGTGTTGGACAAGACAATTTTTCTCTTTGGAATCTATCTTGCATATCTTTAAGTCTACCATTTGTCTATGCTTAGAATATTGCTGACATATATGCTCCAGTGGCCCTGCTATTTTCCTGAAGAAGAATCAGCAATACTATTGGTCCTGATCTAGCAGCTAAGCTTCTGTCATTTGCCAACTGCTGTAAGGTTGCCTCTCTGCCTTTTTTATAAATACTTTCATGGTAATTCTTCGAATGGGCTCTTTGCTATGGTACCTAGGCTGTATGAATTTAAGCATAACTATAGACTAACAGCAAGATTTCATCAATTTACAGTTGAGCTAGTTAGATGTAGCCATAACTTCTATGCTAACAATTTCTTATCTCACATTTCTCACTTATGGAATTCCCTCTTGCCTTCTTCAACCAACTTTAATCTTCAAAAATGTAAATGCAATGTCAATCACTATCTACTGTCTTCCTAATTGTTATTTTCTCATTCTCCTCATTACTAATGTTTCTGTTCCTAATTCCCCTACACCCTGTAATCTCTTGCATACTAGTGGTTGTACTGTGATACTGATTAAATAAAAAAATTGTGTATTGTTTGTAACTTCCCAATAGACAAATAATTTAAGGACATTCCCAAATGATTTATATAAAAAATTTTCCCTCCCCGATAATGGGATCTTTAAAATTACTTGCAGTATTAATAATTACTGCAGACTTCATAGGTGGCAAACATACATTTTTGGGGCTCTGAAGCTTGAACAGATATGGGGACTCATTCACAGCCAGCAACAATAGATTCAAGGATTCAACTGCCAAAATGTAGGCTATGGATAGATTCTGGCAAGCACAATGAGCCCCTATAGTATGGGGTTTGGATGTTGCAAGCCCCCAAGAAAAGTTTAAGATTTGACCAATTACAGGAGAATTTTGAGGTCATATGAAATGGGTATTAGAGCATATTCTAAGGCCAACATTAACTACTTCAACCCATTGGCTTATGATTCTATCACTAAAATGGCCTTATTTTAATAACAAATACTTAAAAAAAAAACACTGATTTTGTTAAAAAATTCACTCATTAAAAAAGTTGCTTCGAAGCCACTCTAGGAAAAGTCAGTAATCAAGAATTTAAAATAGTGGGCCAAGTCAAATATTTTGGTATGATTATCCACAAAAAGGCTCTAGAGTATAAATAATTTTAAGACTAGCACAAACAATGACAGCTGTTACAAAACTATTTCAAAAAACAAGATCATCTGCCTGAAATCAAATTGTTGCATGCATTGGTCTACTGAATGCCTGCAAATCGTGGACATTTATATAATAGAACAGCATAGGGACCAAGTATTAGAAATGAGATACTACTGAACATCCTAGGCATCTCTTATATAGACCACATAAAAATAATTCAGTGCAAGACAGTATCAGGCAAGAAACAAGCCTGCTGGAAGATCTCATTCATAACCACTATCAAGAAGAAAAACTTGAAATGGTATGCCCATATAAAAAGCGCCAATGATCTTTCCACTGCCATCCTACAAGGTACTGTAGTG